GAAACACAAGAGTCAGGGTGGCTTCTGGGTAATACCAGATGGCTAGGCCTCAGACTGACGAAGCCTCTTGGATGAGGGGCGAAACGTTTCTTTTTAACAAAAAAAACGAAGTCCAGATGACATGATTCAACCTTTTTTGTTGTTATATACCTGGATGACTGAGAAAACAAACTTTGTGTAAATAATAAATCTTCTTCATACACCAAAGTTAGTCATGGAGTTCCTCAGGGCTCAGTGCTTGGGCCAATACTCCTTACTTTATATATGCTTCCGTTAGGTAAAGTTATTAAACAGCATGGGATAAATTTTCATTGTTATGCTGATGACACACAATAATATTTGTCCATTAAACCCAATGAATCCAATCAGCTACTTAGACTGCAAGCATGTCTTAAAGACATAAAAACCTGGATGACTCTTAATTTTCTCCTGTTGAACACAGACAAGACTGAGGTTTTGGTTTTTGGACCTGAGCACCTTAGGAATGATTTTTTCAGTCTTTCTCCCTCCTTAGATAGCAATAATCTGTCCTCCAGCTCTAATGTTAAAAATCTTGGTGTTATTTTTGAGCAAGACATGTCTTTTATCCTCCACATTAAAAACATTACTAGAACTGCCTTCTTCCATCTGCGTAGTATCACTAAAATTAGAAACATCTTATCTAAAAATGATGCAGAAAAACTGGTCCATGCATTTGTCACATCTAGACTGGACTATTGCAATGGTTTATTATCTGGATGTCCAAATACTTCTTTAAATCGTCTTCAGTTTATCCAAAATGCTGCTGCCAGAGTCTTAACTGGAGTTAGTAGGAGAGATCATATTTCTCCAGTTTTAGCTTCTCTCCATTGACTCCCTGTCAAGTCCAGAATAGAATTCAAAATCTTACTTCTAACCTACAAAGCTCTCAACAACCTGGCTCCATCTTATATTACAGGTCTTATTGTTCCATATTTTCCTAATAGAGCACTTCACTTTCATTGAGACATTGAGACGCTAATTTTCTTTGACCCATCAAAATTAATGTGGTCATTTATTTAACAGAATCAAAATTTAACATCAAAATGTACAAGTGATTAGCTGATCTGGTTCTGATTAATAAAACTTGGCACGTTTTACTTAATAAAAACAACAGATATTTCTGAAGGCATCTAGATTAATTACTGGCAAAATAGAAGAAGAGTTTAAAGATGGGAAATGAAGGAGTTTAAATGGAGAGAAAAGATGGATAAGGAAAGTGTGTTGACTAGGAATGGCACCCTTCATCCGACCCCAGCTCAGCCCCGGTACACTCGGTGCGTGGCGACTCGTTACCTTAGACAGGGATACCTCTGCTCAGGAACAGGAGTCCATTTCAACGCTACCTTTCAGCGTCTCCGGTAAGGATGGCTGAGAATCGTCCGAAGTAGTGACGGTACTCCGTTCAACAAACGCTCATCTCCCGGGTAGATACACAGCAAGCTGTGAGTCCATAAGAGGTGAGTGGAAGAATCCATCACAGGCTCCGAAGACTAAGTTCAAGACTAGACTTCATCAGAGACCCGCTTGAGGAGCTCAGGAGACTTGACCGACTGACTGACAGACCCAGTTGACCTGAGAAGTTCCAGGAAGTGTGGACTCTTAAAGAGTTCTCACTTCTGGTCACCTCAGGACTTCCTGATTGGTTGAAACAACTAACAGGGGGTGGTTCTAGTGACGTCAGAGGGTCATTACAAGTCAAGAAAACAGCAGGAATGTTTTAGAAACGTCCCGTACAGACAGAAGACATGTTATAGCGAAGTGGGAGGAAGCAGATGCCAGTAGCTTCTTGTTTACCGTCTGCTAGGTTTAAAAACACGACACTTCGTTCTAATAACTTCTTTCTGACTTTCGACCGACTTCACTACTTCTCATTTCAGACAGAAGATCAAAATGCATAATTACTTTGTAAAATAGACATTTAACTTGATTTCTAATTTAAATGAGGATTAAAATATCATTAATACTGTTTCACAGTTGATTTAAAATGAGTGGTTCACTTCAACATTTAGAAATGGTATGAACTAAACACACTTTTGATTTATCAAGATATTGTAAAATAGTAATGATAATATAAAAGAAGAGTGTTCTTTCAATTGATTACTTCAGGATACAATTAGACAGTTTCTGGATGAGCTAATTGTATTTCTGGATTCAAATCAATGAAATAACAGTTCCTGTCCCATGAAGGTCCTCAGAGGCAGGTTTTGGTCAGAGGCCGAGTTCACTACAGTCCCCCCTTTGGAAATCATCGCCTGTCCATGGGCATGAATTCCAACATGAACTTACGCCTCCAAATGTCCTTGAGCTTGATGTAATCCAGCAAGAGGAAAACAAAAGTCAAAGAAAGTAATCCCACAACGGTTTAGATAATTCCACAATGTTGTTGGTAATTCATAATGTTGTTGGTAATTCCATTATGTTGTTGGTAATTCCATTGTAGCAATGCTTTAAGCCCTTGGAAACAAAGTCTGTAATCCATTGGAAAAAGTCATATAATCCACAACGATAAATCCACAACGATTGGAGGTGTTGATTGATCAGCATGCAGAGGGGTTCCCTCGATTGAACTGCAGAGGCGACCACTGGATGGAGATTGGAGACCCACGTTGGAGTTGTAGGTCCCTTCAGCGAAGGTTGCTGCTGGTGGTTCCCAGTGGGTGCCATTCTGGTTCTATGTGTTGTGCATTTATGTGGTTTTAGTTGGGCTAATGAGTGGGATTTTACATAAGACCTTAACCTATATGCACCTGGTGTGTAAGCTAACATAGCCCTTAGAACGCTACAATCTTATTGTTCCATATTTTCCTAACAGAGCACTTCACTCTCATACTGCAGGTTTACTTGTGGTTCCTAGAATTTACAAAAACAGAATGGGAGGAAGATCTTTTAGTTATCAGGCTCCTCTCTTGTGGAACCAACTTCCAGTCTCTGTCGGTGAGGCTGACACATTATCCTGTTTTAAAACTAGGCTTAAGACTTTCCTTTTTGATAAATCCTATAGTTAGGGTCGGCTTGGGTTTCCTGAGCTGTCCCTTAGTTATGCTGCTATAGGCTTAGACTGCTGGAGGACAAACTGACCACACTTTTTCACTTTGCTACTGTCTTTACTTACTCTGCTCTACCTGTTTTGTATTTGTAATTATTTTTTCTATCCTTAACATGTGTTTTTCTTTTTTGTCTTTCAGATACACCTGGACCTATACTTGGACCTACCATTCTGTGTTTGTTTGTCTCTCCTTCCTGTCCTCTCAAACCAGCCGATCAAAGCAGATGGCTGCTTGTCCTGAGCCTGGTTCTGCTGGAGGTTTCTTCCTTTTAAAAGGGAGTTTTTTCTTTCCACTGTTGCCACTGTGCTTGCTCAGGATGGGAGACTGCAACGAAGCCAAGATTAAACTTGTCTGCTGGATTCCTTAGATAGAGAACTTTACTAATTGGCTTTTATGTATGTGAATGTTCCTGTAAAGTGCCCCGAGACAACTTTGTTGTGATTTGGCGCTATATAAATAAACTGAATTGAATTGACTTTCTGACGGATATTCTTCTCGACTTTTAGATGTCTCTGTTTGTGAAAAAAACCTTCAGCTGACTGTATATTCTAAAAGTGGGAACTGGTGAGTTTGTTTCTGGAGCTAGCATGCTAGCACTAGCCTCCAGATTATTGTAATGAGCTCTGTGCTAAATCAGTGCTATTATATTGCTACATGTATTTGAATGTGCTTATAGAAAAATAATTACCAAACATTAATACTTTACAGCCACCACTGACCATGATGCATTTGTTTCATTATGGATTAAAACATCTCATGTGGGTAAAGTGGAGTGGAAAGTTGTGGGAACTGCAGCACATGTTTGTTATTTACACAGCTGTGTATTTGGAAAGTTATTCAGCTTTGGAAAGATACAAACCTGAGGGACTTCAAACTTCAGAGCGACAGACACAAAAAGAAGAAGCTATTTTACAATCTTAGCTTTGTTCTACAAAATGTATTGGGGCATCAGTTTGTCATATTTGCTGGGATTCTCTGAAAGATACTGCATAATGACACAAATTAAAGTAAATAAAATTTGGAGTATTGTAACAAAGTAATCCAAAGATAAAAATCCAAACAAAGCATTTGATTAGTCTGTTTTTTAAGATCATCCCATTCAAATTATGCTCATTAGCTGTAGACAGTTTTAATTCTGCCAAGTCTACATTTATTCCCTTTCCTTCAGTTTTCTCAAATCTACGAAGACACCACAAATCATCCAAGAGATAAAAATTTAATGAAAATAAATAAATACACAAAGTCTACCAGGTTTTTAGGACTGCGTGTAACAATACAAATAGAAGCAAAATGTTACATTGAAAGAGGACATGCTTAAGACCTTTGCACAGTACTGCACTCATGAAGTCATTTTAGAGTCTAGCAATAATTTCTCTTCATGAGTTTAGATGTGCAGCATGGTACTGTAGATATTGAACTTTTTTCTTTTCTGTTTTATTGCGTTGCTTTCTTTGGATATACAAATCCAGCTTCTAGATTTTTTTAGCTGACATGATCAAATTAATATGTAAGTACACTACAGGTAGAGTAAATACAGCGAAAGTGTCCCTGTCTGGTTTCAACAGGTAAAGTCTTGGCTAATTTCCCACCCTGATTTTTTCCTCCTTTTTCTCTATAAGAGCAAACGGTGCCAGATTCCTCCTCCTGACTGCAGCCATGAACGGGCCAGCTCTCCTGCTGCTTCTCACTGGTAAGAACATTCCCTCAGTATGAGGCGATCTGTTTCAGTATCAGATTTAAACACACTATTTGAAGTTATTTCTTGGTCCGCCTCAGCCTGTGTGGTCGGTGGGGCCACTGTGCCCAAAGCCATGTGGCAGTTCGGGAAAATGATGAAGTGCGCTCAGCCTGATGTTAACCCTCTGGCATACAACAATTATGGCTGCTGGTGCGGCTTCGGAGGAACTGGGACTCCGGTGGATGAAGTGGACGAGTAGGAAATATTATTATTATTATATATTTTTTAAAAAGACAAAACTCTCAATGCCCTCTGCTGCATTCTCAGGTGCTGTCTACTACATGACAAATGCTATGAAGCAAGCAGAAAGGTTCCAGGATGCACATCCCTCTCTGACCTCCCCTACATTATTGTTTATGATTACACCTGCTCCAACACACAGGTGAAATGCTCAGGTAAGGACGTCATTTAAGGTGATTTTACACAGATAGAGACATAAAACGTACACTTCTATGAGAAATTTAGCTCAAGCTTCAGTTATGTTTACAGTTTAAAATGTTAAAAGTAAAACTGCAGCATTAATAGTCCAACTCAGAAATAAAACCTTGATTTTATTAGAATGCTGTTGCTACAGAACAATTAAGAGTCTGAACAGGTTATAAAAATTTTATCAAAACAAAACAGGGTAGAGAGGAAAAACATTCTAGGGGGGAAACATGCTTCCTGGTTTAAAGTACAAACCTGACAATATCCTGCTTTACTGTAAACAATACAAGTTAGACAACAATCTATTTTTGGATGTGTAAAAGCACAAGATCAGCATTTAAATGGCTACGGTCAAGAGGAAAAAACACAGGGTCTACCCTCTAAACTCCAGGGTTTTATGTATCAGAAAGTGGTGAAGACCAGATTGTTTTATTACCGTAGGTTCTACAATTATTTCATTCTAATCTGAAGAATAAAACCAAGCAGATCCCACGCTGTCATTTTTATAGAAAATAAACCAAGCCCAAATGGAATAGCCGTGCGTGGATAAACTATGCTTTTGTAAGTTTGGAAAGCTGCATCTGAATGAGACAGAACGCCTCCGAAACGATGTTCTTTGGATAGATGAGCCCAAAGTAGAGATGGTCTGTCAGCACCAACAGCTCAAACCTGCTGTCCCGCACGGTGGTGGTGAACAGACTGATGGGTGGTTTGGGCCACAGGACCTGAGCACCTGCTGTTTTTGAGTCAATCATGAACTCCTCTCTAGACCTAAGAATTGTAGAGTCAAATGTGAGACCATCTGACAGCTGAAGCTTGGACCAAACTGGGTCATGATGCAACACGTCAATGATCCCAAATGCAGCAGGTAATCTACAACAGAGCAGCTACAAAAGAATCGGGGGTGTTGGACAACCACCCCAACCCATTTGTAATGATGTGGTGGAACCAGGACTTAATTTGAGTTGGATCCTGCTGAACAGGATCCGGGAACTCGCCTATGGAGTTCACACACCAGAACAAGGTGTGTTCCGGTAACTGTTTGTTTGGATCTGCTAACTCTCAGGCTTACTAATAATAAAGTTGTGAAAAATGTGACTGTCTTGCATGAATAATACCTGTATTAGATATGTAAACTGAAAATAATTACATAAACACTCATTTTAAACACAACAGCCACTAACGAGCTTCTTAATATCACATAAGAGCCAAGCACCAGTAAGCATTTTTGCTTCTACCCTTAAAAAATCTCCACCCCTAAAAGTTCAGTCATGATCAATTTACAAACCGGATTCCAAAAAAGTTGGGACACTAAACAAATTGTGAATAAAAACTGAATGCAATGATGTGGAGATGGCAAATGTCAATATTTTATTCGTAATATAACATAGATGACAGATCAAAAGTTTAATCTGACTAAATGTAACATTTTAAAAGGAAAAATATGTTGATTCAAAATTTCACAGTGTCAACAAATCCCAAAAAAGTTGGGACAAGTAGCAATAAGTGGCTGGAAAAAGGAAATTGAGCATATAATGAAGAGCTGGAAGACCAATTAACACTAATTAGCTCAATTGACAACATGATTGGGTATAAAAAGAGCTTCTCAGAGTGTCAGTGTCTCTCAGAAGCCAATATGGTAAGAGCATCACCAATTCCACCATTGTTGCGCAGAAAGATAGTGCAGCAATACCAGAATGGTGTTACCCAGCGTAAAATAGCAAAGACTTTTAAGTTATCATCATCAACCGTGCATAACATCATCAAAAGATTCAGATAATCTGGAACAATCGCTGTGCATAAGGGTCAAGGCCGTAAAGCTCTACTGGATGCTCATGATCTCCGGGCCCTTAAACATCACTGCACCTCAAACAGGAATGCCACTGTCAAGGAAATAACAGAATGGGCTCAGGAATACTTCCAGAAAGCATTGTCAGTGAACACAATCCACCGTGCCATCTGCCGTTGTCAGCTGAAACTCTACAGTGCAAAGAGGAAGCCATTTCTAAGCAAGCTCCACAAGCTCAGGCGTTTGCACTGGGCCAGGGGTCATTTAAAAAGGAGTGTGGCAAAATGGAAGACTGTTCTGTGGTCAGATGAGTCACGATTTGAAGTTCTTTATGGAACACTGGGACACCATATCATCCGGCCCAAAGAGGACAAGGATAGCCCAAGTTGTTATCAACGCTCCGTTCAGAAGCCTGCATCACTGATGGTATGGGGTTGCATGAGCGCTTGTGGCATGGGCAGCTTGCATGTCTGGAAAGGCACCATTAATGCAGAGAACTATGTTCAGGTTCTAGAACAACATATGCTCCCATCCAGACGCCATCTCTTTCAGGGAAGACCCTGCATTTTTCAACACGATAATGCCAGATCACATTCTGCAGCAATCACAACATCATGGCTACGTAGGAGAAGGATCCGGGTACTGAAATGGCCAGGCTGCAGTCCAGATCTTTCACCTATAGAGAACATTTGGCGCATCATAAAGAGGAAGGTGCGACAAGGAAGGCCCAAGACGATTGAACAGTTAGATGCCTGTATTAGACATGAATGGGAGAGCATTCCTATTTCTAAACTTGAGAAACTGGTCTCCTCTGTCCCCAGACGTCTGTTGAGTGTTGTAAGAAGAAGGGGGGATGCCACACAGTGGTAAAAATGGACTTGTCCCAACTTTTTGGGGATTTGTTGACGCCATGATATTTGGAAACAACAGATTTTTCCCTTAAAATGATACATTCTCTCAGTTTAAACTTTTGATCTGTGACTTGTGTTCTATTCTGAATAAAAAATTAGATGTTGGCACCTCCACATCATTGCATTCAGTTTTTATTCACAATTTGTTTAGTGTCCCAACTTTTTTGGAATCCAGTTTGTAATTAAAAACACAAAAATATAATTAAACAGCATAACTAAATCGCAAATCAGTTTTACAGTTTAAGAGGGTCATTAATAAAATTTTGATTATTTATTAAAAATACGAGAAATATTTGATAGGTAATCACGTTACGAACAACGGCACCAATTTGTTAAAATAACGCGATCAAAATGTGGAAAAGATGGTCCAATTTACATTTATTTAAAAAAAAGTCTCATTGTACAACTAAACAACCGAGAATTGAAGCACATGAAGGCAGTGGCAATAGAGATAGTACTCGGTGTGTGTGTGTGTAGGTAGGACGTGAGAGAAGCAGAGTGTACTCTATTCAAACAAGGAGAGCTGTTGGTCAGGCTACTTCTTGTTGCTCTCTAAAATAGTTATTGAATCCTGTTCGCAAAGTTAGGTAAATATAGATGCCCCCCACCCCATCCAATTTGTGTTCTGGCATTGTTTGGTTTACAAATTAATCACTGGGTGGACCCTTAAGAGATCTGCGCAGAAACAAACCTCATAAACTGAAGCATTATTGTAAATCAGAGTGGGCCTAAATTCCTCCACAACCATGAGAGAATGATAAAAATGTTAAACTCAGAGGAAACGTTACTACAATATTTCTTCACGTTAATACAGCTGAAGTTCTTCAAGCCTCGGATCATCATATCATAGAGTGGACTTCATGTTAAACAGCTTTTTCATTCAGGGTTATGGTGCAACCTGTTGTGTTTTTGTACTCTTGAGGTTAGGTTTAAAGAACTTTAGAACCTGTTAAAACATGTTCCTGTTTTTAGTTTTCTATTCACCTTATAATCTAGCTGCTTTTGTTACTTTTTTTTTGCCATCTTATTTGTCAAAATGAAAAAATCTGTATGCCTTTTTATATCCGTCTACTGTTGTCCACGGTTGTCATCATTCTTTGATGAAATCAGGTCTCTCTTGTAAATGAGTCCTCGAGGCTCAATGGGATTTACCTGTCTAAATAAAGGTTGAATGAATGAAAAAAGACCCAGTCATTTGAATTATGTCCTGATGTGTGTGTCTCTGCAGATACCAATGATAAGTGCCAGGCTGCTGTGTGTGAGTGTGATCGCGTGGCGGCTCATTGCTTCGCCCAGAGCGACTACGACCCGGAAAACAAGGACCTGGATCCCGAGGTCCACTGTGTGGACTGAGGCGCACATTTAAGAAACCAGCACAGAACTCCTGAAACACTTTATATATTTTAGATTATGAATAAAGTTAAAGTTTAAATTCATTCAAGGCAGTTATTTTAATAAACTTGGTGCCCGTTTACCTTATATGGACAGGTGTCAGTCGCGACATTTAATTTCATACACACTGACTGTTTAATGCAGGTCACTGAAAAGTTTTCACAACCAGATTAGAATGAGGGAAATGTTTCCCTTCGTTAACTGTGATTAATAAGCCAGCACCACAGAATAAATGACTGGTGGGAGTCGTTTAGCAGCTTTCCTGTGTCAAACGCACGTTTCAGAGCAAAAGTCTGCTCTTATAGACAGGAGGGACGTTGATAAAGCTGCATATATGTATTTGTCACTTTCCTTTAGTCAGGGCAGTGCTTTAAACTTGTAGGTCGTTTTCACATCCGATAGTCTGGCAGACTCGGTTCGACTGGGGACCAATATTCAGAACATTGGTTTACATTTTCATCTGGTGCGGTTCACATTCACACTGCACTGAGTCAATCGAGCCAACCTGTTCCCCACCTCGCCTGTGGTGGCGCTGCACCATGAACTACTGAAAGAACCAACACAAAAACCTCTGAAGAAGACACTGAGCGCAACTTCTGGAGATAAAAACAAAAATGGAGTGGCGTCAAATTTTAGCGGTTTTAGGATTTCTGTTTTGCCATTTTTCCAACAATGGACTCTGCATGAGCAGAAGATGAGGAAGAAGACCATGGAGAATGTTGTTTTTCACACAAGGCGGCTGAGACGGCTCTGTATGAGAAATGCGCATTTGTTTTGGTTGTATTTACCCAGAATGCCCTGCGCTGTAGTCCACTTCCTGCTTTTGGAGCGGCCTCCGGTCTGCTTGCATTCACAATGCATTCGAGTTCGCTTCAACCGAAACGAGACTTATGAGGTATTTAGGCAGACCAGAGTTCACTTTTTTGGTCCGTATCAGAGTTAGATTATTTTCACTCTGTGGTAAGGAAGGTTCAAGCAAAAAACATCCGGTTTTAAGAGGAAAAGCAGGGAGTGTAGTGTTTGTACGTAAACGACCACATTCCACGTGCAATTCAGGTATTTGAGACGTTTGGAAAACACTTGGCAAAACGCGGGAGCTGGAATGAGATTTCATTTGAATTTGATAATCAAGACTGATTTATTCAACAAACATATCAACAAACATTATACAGTTGGTTTAACAAAAGAGTCATTAACAAGTTGATTTAAGACCATAATAGCTGTCAAAATATGTGATTTGTCAACGTTTTTGATTAAATCTTTTACATGTGTATCATCTACTGCAAAAAATAACCACTGTATATAATTAACTACCAAAGGTCTACAGCATAATTTATAATAAATGACTGAAATCAGCAGTCAGGTTTGGCTGCCAATAATTATGAGCCGTTTGTTTACATTCGAACATTGACAAGTTCACTTCAGTCTCAGAGCACAACGGATTTTGAATCAGTAAAATAATCTAGATACAAACTGCCAGAGGGAGAACAATGAAACCAGAGGCGCCAGGTTAAAAGTAATTATAGTATTTTTAGGGAGGAAACCAATGGAGCTGCGGAGAGCATTAAAGCAAAATTTATAGCAATGATCACGAGATAAACTTTGCAGAGATATCCCCGACTCTAACGGGAGGATTTAACTGTAAAATGAATTATTTGCAGTTTTATAATGCAATGTTTCTTAAAAACCCTGATGAGTAAATTGCATTAAGCCCAAAGCAGATTTAAAGATGCTGAAATTGTTAGAGGCTAAAAACATTCACATCAAAAACACTAAAAATATTCACATATTTTGACAGTTACTGTGTCTATAAAAAAAAAAGAAATAAAATAACTTCAGGAGAACCCTTGAAACTACGAACAAGACTAGACTTTGGTCCAGTTCACACAAAATATTACAAATAATAGCAGCTGTATAGTTGAACACTTCATTTTAACGTTAGCTGGGTCGTGTGCCTCTGGAGGTTATACTGGCTTGTACAGAAGAGTAGTCACATACTTCTTTTTGTATCGGTGTGTCGCACTGAGGACCATCACCCCATCCTAAAACAGAATTAAAATAAACAAGCTGAACAATTAGCTAAATGAAAAACCAGTTTGTCAAAGACCTTTCTGAAGCTTTTCATTCTCGGTAAATAATTAAAAGTACTGAAAGACCTGAATGTTTCAGTTACCTTGATGGAGAGGGCATACAGGTGATTGAGCATCACATGGTTGGGCTCTGGAAGCAGTGTCGGGTCACACTGAGAGAAAAATCAAAGGCAGCGTGATTTTATTTAATGACAGCGGCCTGCTTCTTACATGTGGTGCACGTTTAAGACGAGCACGTGTACCAGCATCTGTTCTGGACTTACAGAGACACCCGTGTCCTTGTTGAGCAGCACTTGGAGCAGGTGGGGCGGTAAGAAGGGAGGCTGCTTGATCTTGTCTTCTGGTTTAATTATATAGCCGTCCTGCTGGTAGGGACCGGGCGGGGAACTGGACAAGTCTGGTTCAGATACAGAAATGTAGACAGTTTCTGACTCGGTGAAACTCAGATTTATTGTACCAACTTCAGGCAACCAGATCAATTGTCATTACCAGACAGGTCTGCTGAATCCTGGGAGTCAAGCCTGAGGGCGTCAAAAACCTCAAAGTCGGTTCTCTTCACCTGGATGACATTGTTGACTGTTCCAGTTTTAGAGGTTGTTACGGGCTGTTGGAAAACAAGCAGAAATCTAACCCGTCTCAGATTACAGACGAAGCACATGCATGGTGACGAAAGCAAGTCCTAAGTACTCACCCCAGCTGGATCCAAAGTCCACTGACCGTCTACACAGAACTTGTACTGGTGCTCTCCCTCCGGCAGATCCACTATAGCCACAAAGTTCTTCTGACTGCATTTGAGAAACAGCCGCAAGTTACTTATTTTCAAAAGACGCGGTCGAAGTGTTGAATAAAAGACGAGCTACCTTCGGTTGAGCGGGATCTTGGTGGCCCAGTTGTTAAAAGAGCCAGACACAAAGACTTCCTTGGCGGCACCTGCCCACCTGAACACTGTGGGTCGGGCATGCGTCAGGTTTTTACTGTCGCAGTCGAGGTCCTGCTGCCACGCCAGGAACTCCTGTATGTCCGGTGAAGCCTATGGAAAATATTAACACCTTCTGTTAGGGAGCAACACTTCCTGTTTGAGAACTCAGTGGGTCCTGACACTGATTTCCTGAATACGTGTTTATGTGTGTGCACATGCTCAAAAGAAGAAAGTCCAAAACTTACTGATGGTAAATGGACTGTACTTATATAGCGTCTTTCTATCTCATCGAGATACCCAAAGCTTGATAGCAAGATAAATGAAAACTATCAACCTAATTTTCATTTATCGGCTTGATCATTTCATTGTGTCTCTCTCTTTCTACTACTAAGCTGAGAAGCTAAGCTACGAGCTAAGCTAACAGGTCGACCTCAGGGAAAAAAACCTCCATCTTGTCGAAGCTCCAAAATTGACGACTGAAAGCCGTGTCTTCGTGTAAAAAGTTGTTTTTCTCTGCAAAAAGAAGTTGAGAACTTGTTTACTGATTTTTTTTAATTAAAAGCTTTGTGTGAAAAATGCTATGCTAAAGAGCTCAAACCACACCGAGCATCCGCCATTTTGAGAACCGAAGAGAGACAGCCCATGTCACGTCAAGGGGCCTCCCTCCCATTTTTCTTAAAGAGACACGCTGCTCGCTCCCTCACTATCCATCCTTCAGTTCAAACAGTCTTATACTGCCATCCGGTGGTCGAAAAAGGTACTACATGCAAAACAAATTGACTTTTTTTTTTTTTTTTACTAATTATTGTCAAATTTCAAAACAATATTATTGTTTATCACAGTGATTTCTGAGACAATTTATCGCCCAGCAGAATTTATTATCGTGACAGGCATAGTCAAAGCGCTGTACAACAAAATCTGTGCCCTCGTTTACCCATTCACACAACACCCTGTACAAAGACTAATCATACATTATATACATACATACATACATACATACATATATATA